TCCTCTGCCTCCAAAAATAAATGACTTCCTGCATTTGCAGCCCCTGGGCCAGCAGCAGCCCTGCCAGAGGGGCAGGGGGCAGGGCTGGGTGTCCCATGGCAGGACACCATGCTCCTTGTCCTCCCTCCTCACGCAGACACCCCGGGAACCGACCCCCCAGCCCAGGGGTTTGGGGTCACCGGGAGCTGGGAAGGAAATGATGGTTTGGCCAACGCTGCCCTTCCCAGCTCCGTGGCCTTCCCAGCCAAATTCCCAGGGAGCCACCGGCCCTGCTGCTGCCACACAAACCCCCCCTGTGTGTCCCTGCCCCCCAGACCTCGGGTTTGCTCCCCAGACACGGAGCCAAGCAGCCCAGAAATGCAGCTCTGCCCTCCCAGCAGCCTCCCCTGCCTCCCACGGAGCCCAGGAAGAGCTGGAATTCCCTCCCTGCCCATCCCAGCTGCAGGGTGCAGAGCCCTGGTGCTGGGGGTGCCAGGGGGGGCTTGGTGTCCAGCACCCCCACAGCTTCTCCCACCGGTTTCTCCCCACGGTCTCATGATCCTTCACGACCACGGTGAGTTCGGCGCCCAGGTCCAGGGGAGTTCCCTTCAGGTCCCACTCGAAGCCCTGGAGGGGAGGAGAAAGGAGCCAGGATCAGCTCCCTGATTGCTCACACCACCACCCACCAGCTACATAAATACATGTTTTGTTCCTGTTTTCCACCCTGGGAGGTGGGAAAAGCAAAACCCCAGGACCCAACGTCACCTTCTCACCACCCAGCAGACGGACCCCCCGGTCACCAGGGGTCCCAGGGAACAGACAAGGGGTGATGGGCAGAAGTTATTCCTGGGGAGGTTCCCGTTGGGCACCAGAGGTTCATGGTTCACCATCAGGACAATGGGACACTGGAAGAGCCTCCCAAGGGAAAGGGGGGGATCCCCCCCCATGGGTCAGGGTCACGTCTCAGCTGGACAAGGTGCTGATCAGACACGAGCAGCACCTGGAAAGGTTGGACCAGAGGGTCCTTGGGGTCCCTTCCCACTGGGCATTCCATGATTCTACAATCCCAGCACCAGCAGCACAAGCCCTGACACCAGCCATGACCCCAGCAAAATTTCCCAGCTGACCCACGTTAAAAACACACCCTGGGCAGAGGCTTTTCCCTCAGCAAGAATTAAAGGTGAACTAGAAAATGATGGGACCTGGTTCACAACATCCCTGCACCTAAACAGGGTTGGTTTGCTCACCAGAAACCCTCTTTTTCTTTCATTTGAGCCATGAAATCACAGGTCAGGGTTAGGAAGTAGAAGCTGCTGGGGAAAAAAAACTCCCTCTCCCTGGCCAGGCTGATGAACAGGGCACATGGGGTTTTTCCACTTGAGCTGTAAATATGTTTTAACAGTTTCTTCTAAAGCGTGTGCAGGGCCCTGATAAGATCTTGACGGGAGAGGAAGAGGCTGGAGCAAAGGTGGGTCCTGAGCCAGCTCAGTCCTGCTCCTCCCAGGCCAGTGCTGGGAATTAGGGATGTGAGGCTGCCAAGGGTGAGGACTGTCCCCAAACCCTCCGTGGGGTGGCATCATGTTGGGGAGGGGCTTGGGACAAGGGCAGGGAGGGATGGGAGCAGGGGGAAGGGTTTCCAGCTGGAGATGAGATGGGAGGGAGAAATTCTGGGCTGTGAGGGTGGGGAGAGCCTGGCCCAGGTTGCCCAGGGAAGCTGTGGCTGCCCCATCCCTGGGGGTGTTGAAGGGCAGGTTGGATGGGGCTTGGAGCAGCCTGGGCTGCTGGGAGGTGTCCCTGCCCATGCAGGGGTGGGACTGGATGAGCTTTAATGTCCCTTCCCACCCAAACCAGCCTGAGATTCCATGATCACCAGGCCCCCTTGTTCTTGGGGCATCTTGCTGGGCACCCCCAGGGACAGGGATAGGGACCAGAACAAGGACACACTCACCTCATTCCAGACGGGGTTGATGTTGTTCTTGATGACTTTAGTCCTCTTCTTCACACCTGCAGGGAGCAACACACCTGGGTCAGAGCAGCTTCACCTGCCAGACTGCAGGGAAGGACCCCAAAACTCTGTGGTGTTCCCCCCAGCCATGCATGGGGGGGTCCAGAGCTCCCAGGAGCAGGATCAGGCCCCACTCCTTGCAGACAGGCTGGGCCCTGCTGGGCACAGATGAGATTCAGGACCACCCCCCCTTCCAACCCCAGCATGAGCCTTGCTAGAAAAACCCAGGTAGGTCACCCCCATGCCCTGTGCCTCAGTTTCCCTGGGAGAAAGGCAGGGAGGAGCTCCCAGCCACTGCTGGGTGGGTTTTGGGTGCTGGAAGGTGTCCCAGGTGAGCCAGGCATCCTCCTCCCTCCACCCAAACCTCAGCAGAGCCCCAGAGGGGACCCTGGGACAGCAGTGGGGGGGTTGGGACACTGACACCCCCCCAAAAATGGGGCTGGGGACTCAATTCCAAGCAGCCCAAGCCCCAGTGCTGGGAGGGGGAGAGGGGAAGGGGGAGGGATGGGAAAACCCAAAGCAGAGCCCACGACCTTGGTGTCCAGACTGAAAAGCAGCCACCAAAAATAAAACCCATCATCCCTGGTCCCGGAGGAGCCGCGTCCGAGGGGGAAGAGGAAAAGGAAACGCGGGAACAATAGAGGGTGACTCAGCCCCAGGGGACACCGAGGGGACAGAAACACCCAAGCTGTGTGTGT